CATTTAGAACGGTTTTTACGGGCTAAACAGTATGGAAATGAAGACGGACTAGAAAATTCCATATCAGAGTTTATTTATTCGAAAGATCAGAATTTCTTTAAGACAGTCATCTATGCGTTAAAATCTCGTTGGGAAAAGTGTATTGAAGCAAATGGAGCATATGTTGATTAAATAAACAGCTTTAAAGTATACTAAAATGTATAAAATATAGTAAACAGCTTAAAATTAGAGTTTATTGATTCGAAAAATCAGAATTTCTTTAAGACAGGCATCTAAGTGTTAAAATCTCATTGGAAAAAGTGTATCGAAGCAAATGGAGCATATTTTGATCAAATAAACAGCTTCAAAATATACTAAAATATATAAACTATAATAAACAGCTTAAAATTAAATAATTTTTATGTCTATTCACTTAAAAATCCGACATCCCATACCCACCAACCTAATATCACGCTCGTGATAACTATACCAGCGACTTACGGAGGAATTTAAGAATGGTTCTACAGCAGTAGAATTTAATTTTTTACCAGATTTCTGACGAAAGAGATTACGAGAGCATCCCGAGCACTTTCAACCCCCACGAATCTTGAGAATACGCGAGCGTCAATAAACAGTCTTCTAGAAATACTTCCGATGAATAAGTTACCTTCGCCAGCGTCTCTAAATACGATGGAAATTAATTTTTACTAGCTTCCTGACGAGGAAGAGACGGAAAGACCACCCCTAAGATCTATCAACGCGTATGAATCATGAATAGACGAGTGTCAATAAATGATATCCGTGACCGTGCTCGGCTTGAAATACGCACAGCGCGACTCGTCGAGAAAGCGGCGAGCCATGTATGCGCATACACGGCGGACGAAACGAATTTCCACGAGTTTTCCGAGGGTGTGGATCGAAAAAGCCGTTCCCCGAAGGTTTCGATGTCTGTCGCGTTGGCGTAAGGAGGACGCGCGGCATCTGAGACGCAGAAGCGGAGACACTCGCGCGCGACTTGTTGGCAACCGAAACGAGTAGGAAAATGAATGATATGCTAATTATCCAGCAGCCGCATCTGGACTGGCACAATCACGGCGCCGTACGCCCCGCGCTCCGCTGACAAATACCAGTGGCGTAACTGGCTAGAGCCTCGCGTCCTCGAAAACTGAAATAGTTATGACCTGGCGTCGCGATAAAGGAAAAAAAAAAGAAGAAAAAGGAAAAAAACGAAGCTCCCAGGTAAGTCGTTCGATCGGTTATGTAATTCCGACAGAGAAGCGGCCGCGGCCAGGCGGCCTACGTCTAACCTCTTTGGCGGCGAGCGTATCTAATAGCTGCCACCAATTGCCCCGCTTCGCGTTTTGGCAGCGGGTCCGCGGCCGTTTAACCTTGCTTATCGGCGATCAAGTTCGACCCCGGCCGCCTCCACCTACTCGATGGACCCGCGATAATATCTGTCCACCTTCGGGGACACGCGCATGATGCAACAACTCCGTGTCCGTGGTAAACAGACGACGCACGAAAGCTCGTGATTCCTCGTGGACTGATGCTTAGGGGGGACGTAAAGGGGCCTTGCGGCGCGGGGAGGGGGGGCATCATCTTATATTGGGTTGGCAACTAAGTTGCCAATCGAAATGCATAACCGAAATTCAGAATTGAAATCCAGAATCAAAATCAGAACTCAAAAATAACAGTTATAGAACCGATATAATATTGGCTCTCAAGAATCGAAACTGAAGATGAAACCGATATAAGTCAGAACTAATTAACCCTCAGCTTGGAAACAAGAATGGACAATTTGGGAAGAGGAGACACGATTATTCCAGCCTTGCAGCTTGTTTTTACAATTATTGAGAATCGGTAATTATAGAAAAACGAGCTGCAAGGCTCGAATAATCGCGTCTTCCCTTTCCAAATTGTCTATTTTGGTGCACTATTTGGGCGACAATCAGGGCGACATTACTGTAGATACCATTAATCGAGGCTTGCGGTTCGTTTTTATAATTGCCGATTGTCAACAACTATAAAAACGAGGTGCAAGACTGAAATAATCGCACCTAACTCTTCCCAAATCGTCCATTTTTCTTTCCAAGCTGAGAGTCAATTAAGGAGAATTCGCTATATTTAATTTAAATCGAAATATAATCTCGAAATGAACTATTGGGTTGGCAACTAAGTAATTGCCGATTTCAGTTATAGATGTCTCTCACTCCCATTTTTATGATATCCGTAAATGTTATATTATAATATTATTATTATTATTATTATTATGTTATTTTTTATTATCCGTGAATGTTAGCAACTGGACAAATTGAATGCAGCGGTCAAGGAAAAGCGACCACAATGCTATAGTTAGCTTGCTGACTTTTTTAACACCCAAGAAATATAGTTCAAATGTTATTTCAGTTTTCTAAAATGGCACCAAAGTGGTACCACCGGCATACAACAGATAGTTTTTGCATGGCACCAGCGTGGTGCCACCGGACGGCATAGTGTTAATATTGAAACCAATAAAAGGATTAGCTTCAGTCTCAACGAGGAGGTTTTGATAATATATTGGGTTGGCAACTAAGTAATTGCCGATTTCAGTTATAGATGTCTCTCACTCCCATTTTTATGATATCCGTAAATGTTATATTATAATATTATTATTATTATTATTATTATGTTATTTTTTATTATCCGTGAATGTTAGCAACTGGACAAATTGAATGCAGCGGTCAAGGAAAAGCGACCAGAATTGGTCAATCGTAAAGGTGTCATTTTCCAGCAGGACAATGCTAGGCCGCACACGTCTTTGTCCACTCGGCAAAAATTGATGGATATTGCTTGGGAATTGATGTTACACCCGCCATATAGCCCTGATCTCGCGCCATCGGATTACCACTTATTTCGATCCCTGGACAACTCCCTTCGTGGTAAAACTTTTAACGATGATGACGCTGTAAAATCTCACTTAACTCAGTTTTTGGCCGAAAAGGATCAGACTTTCTACGAGCGTGGAATTTTCAAGTTGTCAGAGAGATGGCAAAAGGTCATCGAACAAAATGGAAAATACATTACAGATTAAACTTCGTTCCAAGTAAAAAGAAATTTTTTATTTCATTGAACAAATCGGCAATTACTTAGTTTCCAACCCAATAGTTCTTTTGTCATCTCTTGGTGAATTATGTTCTCGTTCGTTTCCTGTGTGTACTTGTGTATGTACTTTTGCATGTTTATCTCATATTAAAAGGCGTATGCTCGTTAGGTACTGAGTAAATAATTGAGTAAATTAGTTCTGTGATTGTAATTCTGTTCTTTTATACGTATTTTTCTTCTTTCTAACTTATAGTAGTTCTCTTGTCATCTTGGTTAATAACGTTCTCGTTCGTTTTTTGTGCGCACTTCCGCGTGTTTATGTAATATAAAAAGTTCTATGCTCGTTAAGCATTGAGTAAATGATTGAATAAACTAGTTCTGTGATTGTAATTCTGTTCTTTTAAATGTATTTTTCTTCTTTCTAACTTATATTAGTTCTCTTATTATCATGGTAAAATACATTACAGATTAAACTTCATTCCAAGTAAAAAGAAATTTTGTATTTCATTGAACAAATCGGCAATTATACTTAGTTACCAACCCAATAGATAGGCGGTCTCGAGGCTGGCCGCGTCTCCGGGACTGTTCCGAAGGGACTATAGAACCTACGATCGACTAGCTCTTAAAGAATTTAGGTTCCCTGAATAGCTGAGTCTATCTGGGCTAGGTCTCCGCGACTTTGCTGCCATAGATGTCTATTTCGATCAGGTTCCGTCGAAGGCAATCGACGGCGTGCCGGTGTCTTTTGCATCCCCGGTTCTCTCTCGCTCGCTTTAAATCCTTGATCCAATGAAAACGGAGCGGTTTCGCAACGCGGTTCGTCGACGGTCACGGGGAAACGTTCCAGGACACGCCGAACGTTTCCCGCGCAAAATCTGTTCCCGCTCGGCCGACCGAACATAATAATTCGGCGAGGAACGATTCCGTTCGATCGGCCGCGGAGAAGCCGCGTTCTCGAGCACTCGTTCGCCGGATAAAAACGGCAGCAACGACGTGCACGTCTCGGCGCATGGTGCGCGGCGAAAACGCTTCTCGACCGACGACGAATCGAATTTGCCAATTAATCTCCTCGGCTGTATGGAGCAGAAGGAAAGGAACGTCGCACGGACCTCCGCCGATGTTATTCACGATCGAGAGGCGAAACGTGGAGACGATTAGCCGTGAAATTTCTCCGGGGATTTGAATAACAAATATATATAGCGCGTCGCTGCGTGTGCGAGTATTAATCTTAATATCGGCGGAGACGGGGTCCTTTTTGCGCGTCGAAGGTAAACATACATTTGGAGCGAACGGGAACATCGCTAAAATACGCGGTTGTTTATGTAACCGTGTTTCTGGTTTCGGAGCCTCGGCGCGTGCGAGAACGAGCCCCATCGGAGTGGAGCAAGGTGTCGAGGAGAAACAACCTTCGCCGAGCAAAACTACGAGTAGCAAAAAAGAAAAAGAAAAAAAAACGTTATTCGAGAATATCTCGGATAAGAAATTGACCGGTCGCTCGCGGATGTAATTCGATCCGTTGATTCGGAGCGTGAAATTACGATTCAAATACAAGGCTACGCTGGATTGTTATTGGGGTAGGCCGGAGAGAAGTCGTGGACTAGCTGACCCCGGACCTGGACCAACGTAGCCCGGGGGGTACCAGAGTTCCATAGAAAAGAGTAACGAACGATTGCTCGTGGATCGAGCTGATAGGCGCTAGAAACGCAAGGTTCGAATATTCGAAAGGTCGGGTCGGTAATGTAAACAGAAACGCGCGGCGTGTGTCGCGCGCGATGCCAGATAGGCAGCATGCATCGAAACGGGGTCTCTCTGTTTTCTAGGCGGTATAGAAGAGCACGGCGGCATCGAAACGTCGTGTAAGCGCGCGCGTTAAGGCGTGCATCGTCCGTTACGGAGAAACGGGGGTATGCGTTATTAATAATGAAATAGGCAACACCTACCTGGAGATCATGACAGCCGTTATCCCTGTGACTGGCAGCACGAATCACCCCTGCACGCCACCCCCACTCACTGATCTTATTCACCTTTAGCTTGGTGAAACCACTCACCGAGAGAAACCTCTTTCCCACGATCTCTTCGCGAAACTTGTACGCCATATTATGGATCGGCAACCGCGGCGTGTCGGATCCGCGAATTCGGATCGCCAGGCCGGGGTCTTCCAATCACCCTTTCTCCGCCTCTATCTATCTATCTGGCTTGTCTCGTTCCCACTCCGCCGGTTCTCTCTCCTTCTCTCCACCCTTCTATCTCTGTCGTTCTCTTTTCCTCTATTCCGATCCTCCGGCGAGCGTGCCTCTCCCCCAAAAAAGAAAACCCCACGTAGCACACAAGAACCGCGGTGAAGAACAACCAACCGTGAGCACCGATCACCACTTCGTTATTTTTCCACCAAGAACACCAGAAACAACACGATCGCACCCGGAGAACTCTCTTCTCCTCGTGATCACGACGGGCCAACAAACAACAGGGCCATGAGGCGCGCACGATCCCCTTTCTATCTATCTCTCTCGCTCTCTCTCTCTTTCTCTCTCTCTCTCTCCCTCTCTCTCTCTCTCTCTCTTTCGCTCTCTTTCTCTCGCTCTACGTCTCCGTCTCTCTCGCTCTCACTCCTTTCTTCTTTCGACAGTCGGCCAAGCACCAACACAGCAGCGGGGCACAGCCACTCCTTGCCGCTACATGCACGCCTGGACAAGACGGCCGAAAACTCTTCGCAGACGGGCAATTCGTACGATCCGCTCCGCTGTTCCACGACGGTCCGGCGATCCGCCGTTTTCTTTCTTTTTTCTTCCGTTTCCTCGGCCGCGCTCCTTTTACAGTCCGTTCCACCTGCGCGCCCCCCGTTTCCCCGTTGTCGGCGACGACGGCAACGACGACGACGACGACGACGAAGACGAGGGTGACGACGTCCGCAACGGTGGTGCCGATGACGACGATGACGATGATCCCCGCACCGACACAGAATTCTCCCCGGTCCCTCGCCACGTCCAGGACCGAACCGAACGCCGGGGGGACACTTTTCAAACTTCCGGCCGCACACCGTGGCACAACTTGGCCGCACACTTTTCGGTTGACGGTGACGGCGGCAGCGCGGTAACCAAGCACTCCGAACGGTACCAGTGTGAACGTGAGAGTGACGCACACATGACCGGCCAGTGATATCGCGTAGCGCGCACTGCGGGCGGACGGCAGGGAGGCACGGCTCCTTCCCGCGGATCGTGCCCCCTCCCCCGCCTTTCAGTCCCGCTGTCCTCCCACCCCACTCCTCCTCCGACGCCTCGCCGCCTTCTCCGCCGCCCCTCGGCGCCCCGCGACCCCGCGACCCCTCGCCCCTCGCCGCGCCGACGAGGCAAGCCGTGCCGTGCCGACTGCCGACGCCGAACCGCGCCGCACCGCGCCGCCACCGATACTCCCCCCCACCCACTCTCTACTCCTCTCCCTTCTAGCCGCACATCTCACCACCGACACTCTCCCTCTCCCGCCCTCCTCCGCCCTCGAGCACCCAACAGCCCGCCCTCCGCACCCCTGCAGCCGCCTCACTCACTGCATCTTTCCTCTCTCATCTCTTCTCTTTTCTTCTCTCCTCTCCTCTCCTCTCCTCTCCTCTCCTCTCCTCTCCGCTCCTCTTTTCTTCTCTTCTCTTCTCGTCTCTCTGCCCTCGCGTGTTCCCTCTACCCCGTTTCTTCTTCTTCTCTTCTCTCTTCCCCATCATTCGTCGTCTTCTCTCTCGCCTCTCCGTTCTTCAGCGGAGGCGACGTGCTCTCTCTCTCTCTCTCCCTCGCGTTGCCTGCCACCCATCGCCACACGCCGACCGTGTGGGGTGAGAAAGTCTAGGGCCGTAGCACCGACCGACCACGGAACAAGGTGCACAGGGCCGCAATTTCGCGAGACCCAGAGGGGTTGAAGTGTCGACTCTAGGGTCGCATTACGAGGGCGGGCTCAGGTGGAGGGGGGAGGGGGCTCAGGCGCCAACGCTGTCGCCGCTAGCGATGGCTACTACTCGGCCTCCATGCACCGCAGGGCCCCGCACCAGTCGCGCCTGTAGGGTGAACAGACGCGGTGCACCCTTATCAGCTACGGTACTATCCGCGCGATGCATTTTGTTTGCGAGTCCAGTGACCTTAAACCTAGCCTGCATTCTGCGAACGAAATGGTGGCACTTTGCTAGTCGGTCTACCGACCTTACGTCTGGTCTACGGACAAGGAGCCGAGGGGGTGGGTAGGGTATTAGTGTTGTGATTTGAACATTTCGAACGCTTCGGTCCTGAATAGCTTCGCTCGCGAGTCAGGTGACCTGAAATTTGCGCTGGTTCCAGGAAACTGGAGGGTGGTCCCGTCGAATTAATTACTATAATTATGTTACTAAATTATCCTAGATTTAGGGAGCTAATCAGTCCGCCGCATGAATTCCTTTGTAATTCTGATGATAATAATTCTAATTTTTTAATTTTGATAATAATAATTCTAATTTCTAAATTCTAATGATAATAATTGTAATTTTTTAATTCTAATGATAATAATTCTAATTTCTAAATTCTAATGATAATAATTCTAATTTTTTAATTCTAATGATTATAATTCTAATTTTTTAATTCTAATGATAATAATTCTAATTTCTAAATTCTAATGATAATAATTCTAATTTTTTAATTCTAATGATTATAATTCTAATTTTTTAATTCTAATGATAATAATTCTAATTTCTAAATTCTAATGATAATAATTCTAATTTTTTAATTCTAATGATTATAATTCTAATTTTTTAATTCTAATGATAATAATTCTAATTTCTAAATTCTAATGATAATAATTCCAATTTTTTAATTCTAATGATAATAATTCTAATTTCTACATTCTAATGATAATAATTCTAATTTCTAAATTCTAAACATAATAATTCTAATATATTGTAACTCTAATATACTGTAACAATCGCCGCATGAATTCCTTTGTAATTCTAACGATAATAACTCTAATTTTTAAATTCTAACGATAATAATTCTAATTTCTAAATTCTAATGATAATAATTCTAATTTATAGATTCAAACGACAATAATTCCAATTTCTAAATTCTAACGACAATAATTCTAATATATTGTACATTCTAACGACAATAATTCTAATATATTGTACATTCTAACGACAATAATTCTAATATATTGTACATTCTAACGACAATAATTCTAATATATTGTACATTCTAACGACAATAATTCTAATATATTGTACATTCTAACGACAATAATTCTAATATATTGTACATTCTAACGACAATAATTCTAATATATTGTACATTCTAATATATTGTAATTCCCTGCCAACCAAGGAGTCAAAGCAATTTATTTTATTTAGGTTGCCGGAGTTTAACTACCCCGTGAAAAATCAATTTTAGCAACGCGCCGTTCCAGTTGGATTGGTCGACGTTGGTCCTGCGAAGGGATTGTAGCCATTGCCGGGAAAATATCTGGTGGACGATGAAATTTCTTTTTTCCCGAGCTTTGGTCCGTCGATTTATTTGTTTGCGCGGGGTTAGTGGCCTGGAAGAGGATTCATTGGACCCACCCGCCTCCCGATGCGTCTTCGCGTTATGTGCACCAACGTTCTTTATCCGTTCCTTTGTCAGTCACGAGTTACGTGTAAGATACCGCGGTGTTGTTCGTTGACTCGTTGCTTTGTTCCAAGGCATCGAACTATATTCGAACGATCCTCCAATGTCGCGAGGCTTCTCTCACCTTATTCTCAATTGCCGTTGCATCCTTCAGTTCGCAACGATTGCACTGAAACCTCTTACAATTTACTATTTTTCCGTTGCGCAGTTTTCGTTGTACAGGCACTGGGTGCCCCGCTCCTCGGCGCCCGTACCTCGTACGGGCCTGCCGTCACGTGACGAAAACACGACATGACGTCACACGCGCAGCAGCAGCCAGCTGCCAGTCCAACATGGTTGACCTGTGAGCAGCGGTGCTACGAACGGCTGTCCGCATTAATCGCTAGTTTCTTCCGAACGCGCGCGCCCCGTTAACCGTCGTAAACCGTTAATATGATATCCTCGATCGTCTCGCGCCTCGTCATGTGAGTATTCGAGCGGAGTCCGTCCGCTAGGCCCGGGATACGAGTGCGGCCAGAATTACCATAGTCAGCTGCGCCTGGATTCTCGCCATCGTTGACCGAGGGGTTGCTCGCGGGGTCCGTTTCTCGGTTCTTATGGTCAGTTTTTCCAGAAAAAAGCTTCTCTCTCCCGCGGCGAAATCTCTCGCAGATATTTCCGCCACGGCGTTCTCGCGAGGGATCGTCCCTGTGCGCCACCGTATTCGCAAAACGGCCGTTGTCCATTTTCGCCTCAGCCCTCCGTGTGTGTCGGAGCGCACGGGGCGCAAAGGGGGTGAGAGCGAGGACCGACGCTGTCGCGCGCGCGACACACGCGAATATCGCGTTTGGTGGTGCAGTGTATTTTTCTGAGTGATCTGTTAAAAAAGAAAAAACAAAAGAAAAAAAGAAAGAGAGATAATCGACGTCCCCATCGGAGGGCCGATGCTCTTCTCCTGTGTCGACGGAATTATGTCACCGCGTCGCCGCACCGCGTTCAATCCCGCTGGAAAGATTTCCATGTTTGGTTACAAGCTTCACGGCGAGCTCTAAGCCGTCGTTGTTGCACTGCGGTCACATTTGAAAATAGTAACGGTCGAACGTGGTATCGATTCGCGGGGAGTTCGGGTTTTACGTTCGCAGTCCTGTCACGGGGGCCGTGTTCGCATAATCGTGGCCTCGGGAGAGCAAAGGTAAGAGGAACATCTTTCGTACATATCCATATTAGGCGAACGGCCGCCGGTGAACAAGGTGGGTCCCCGTCCGATCCCGTAACGAGGCCGCGCTCGGCCGTGATCGGTGAATCAGAGATTTTTCGGCGCCGAGCACACGCGCGGATCGGCATAACCTATTTAACGGAACAGCCCTCGGGGTCGGCCGGTGTAACAACGACATATTCCTTGACGGTGAAAGTGCACGATCATCGGCCCCGACATCTGCATCGTTCCTAGTTCGAAGCTCGTACACCGCGCGAACCTAACCTAACCGACCAGTCGAGCCTTCGGTAACCAACGCCAGGCGCCCTACCCCTTCCACCATTGCGGACGTACCCTTAGGTTGCGACACCTTGCGCATAATCCGTTGGGTGTCTACTGCGCTAGGCAATTCCAAGAGAATCCTCTCGGCGCGAGCCGAGGCGGCATATCTTCCTTGCATTTCTTCTTGGGGATTACTCTCTCCGGCGACGACTCGCTTCGATATTCCTCTCGTAGCAGGCTCGCGGTGTCGTGCGCTCGCTAGTCGATACCATAATAGAACTAGTTCGGGCGCATTTGGACATGTTCCATGCTCTGGATTGATATAGGTATGTGTGCTCTCGCTCTTTATTCCTCGTACCCGTTTTCCACGGCGCGCGTCGAGCCGGGTTTAAAAATAGCCGGACGCAACGGAAGGAGGCCACCGAACGCGCGCTCCCTTACGGAGGGACGGGCGCGCGGGACTCGTTCGCGGTCCTCTCTCTAACGTCGTCTTGGTACCGTGGCCTCGGCGTCAGCTGATCGAACGCGTCCCCGTTTCAGCCGCGGATACGGCTATCGACGCGCTTCAAGCTCTTATCTTATCAACCGAAGGAATTTACGAACGGAGCTAATCGCTTCCTCTCTCTGGAGCGCGCGGGGGCGTGGTTGCGATCCGTGCGCTCGCCGGACGAGAACAGTGCGCGCGGCGCAGTTAGGTGCCGGTCTCCCGCGTCGGCGATTTTTATCGGGCCCCGGCTGGCGTGTGCGCGCGTATGGAAACGAGGCGTCGTCGTCGTCGTCGTCGTAACAGACGACACTCTCGGCTGGGGACAAACGTCGTCTCGGACGTCAGCTGATTCGGCCGACGTCACGGCGACGGGGACGCGACGTTTCTCCCTGGCGTCGCGCGGACTCCCGTCGAGGGAGAGAGCGCGTTCCGTCGACGGCGTTCCTCTCGACGCCTGGCAACCTCGTGCCGCCGGTCCGTGCACGTGTGCATATTAGCGATCTCGCGGAGAGCCGTGACTCACGTCCGCTGCACTTGACAATAAACTGGAACAAGGCGATGACGCCGTTGATCTTGGACCCGGCGGCGCGGGACTGGTCGCGCGGCAATCGGGGGGGGGGGGGGGGCCCCGAAAACTCGGA